TCAGTCCACAGTCCGGATTCATCATATGCCCATCTTTGTGCTGCCATGGCCAGGCATAGATATGAGAGTATAATGTGTTTTATGCCTTTCAACAACAATACACTCTGTCATCCTCGAGGTGACCCTGAATTTGACTCGCTCCACAAAATTCGGCCTTTCATAAATCACCTTAACCAGAAATTTGCAGATGTCTATACTCCCCAGCAAAAAATTTGTGTCGATGAGTCCCTCATTCATTTTTCTGGCCACCTTGCATTCAAACAATTTCTTTCGGATTTACGAGGGAAAAGATAGTGACGTGGAGCCCCCCGAATGCCCAGATTACATGGGGAGCAGTGGCAAGATAGTTTGGGACTTGGTGTCATCCTTTTTCCGTATGGGGCACATTGACAATTTTTATTCAAGTGTGCCACTATTTAGACATTTGTACAATCTTGGAATTGGCGCATGTGGCACTATGCAACCTAATGTGTGCCCACCATTAGAAGTGGGCAGTATATTCTAATGGTGGGCATACCACACACTTTTTCTGGCAGAGATTTCTTCTCTTTTTTTCATTCAGCCCACAGGCTGCATAAAAAAAAAGAACATAGCATATATACCCAACAAGGAGCAGCAACATACTGGTACATCACTGGACTTTGAATGGTTATACCAGGATGCAGGCATCATCCTGGTATCGTTTTTTTTTTTCATGTAAAAAACAATCCTGGTGGCTAATTAGCTGCAGGATTGCCTTTACAAGCAGTGGGAGACGATGACCCCCCTCCCCCACTGCTTTTCACAGCCTTCTAGGGCAGTCCTGTGCCATTGAGGGAACCTGAGAATGCAGCTGGTGTTTCTGCCAGCTGACCATAGAGCTGATTAGAGACCAGAATGGTGCCAATTATCTTTATAGTCTAAGAAATCAGAAGCTATGAGCATTTCATCACTTCAGCTTCGCAGGATATAAACAGCGCCTTTTGTAAATTGGGAAAGCATCTGATCACACCGATTTTGGTTAGATTAGATAATGTAAGGGCAGAGGAGATATCTAGAGTCTGATAGACCCCAGATTTCTCAAAAAAGAATACATGACAATGAACATTGGAGTTATAGGGGATATTAGAAAGGGACAGTGTAAAAATAATTTAGAAAAATCAAAATAACTTAAAAGAAAAAAAGAAGAACCCTCGCCCCCTTGCGTTCGCACCTGTGCATGTGAGCATTGACCCTGTTCCGGTATGTAAACAGCGGTTGCACCATGCATGTGCGGTTTCGCCACGAACGTCAGATCAAGTGCAGTAATTATAGCACTAGAGCTCCTCTGTAAATCTAAAATGGTAGCTTGTAAAGGCTTTTAAAGCGTTGCCTAAGGATATTAAAAATGTATGCAGTTTGTCACCATTGCACGGGGCATGCGCAGTTTTAAATCATGTCATGTTTGATATCTATTAACTCTTCATACCATCATCTTTTATATATTACTAACTAATTGGCCAATATATTGTGTTTTTGTGCATTAAAAGTAAAAAAAAAATTTACTTTTATTTGCATTTGAAAAATCGCTGTGCGAGTACATAAAATTGCAGCACCCACCATTTTATTCACTATGGTGTCTGCTTTAAAAAATATATAATGTTTGGGGGTTCAAAGTAATTTCCTAGCAACAAATACTGATTTTTTTTTTCATGTGAACAAAGTGTCAGAAAAGGCTTCATCTTCAGGTGGTTAGAAGAGTGAATGATGTGTGGCATAAACTTCTAATGCTGGGCATAAAATTCCCCCACCCCCTAAAACGACCCCTTTTTGGAAAGTAGACACCCCAAACTATTTGCTGAGAGGCAATAAAAGAATTTATTTTTTACCACAAGTTTTTGGAAAATGACAAAAAAAAAAAGGCAGTCTAGCAAAGTACAGTTCCCAAAATACAATTAGCACCGTCAGGCTTTTACAGGGCTTCATTTCCTCATTACAGTTCCTGAATACCTATCACAGTTTCAGAGGCCATGAAATGCCAGGATAGGCCCCCCCCCCCAATTATCCCTTTTTGGAAAGTAGACACCCCAAAGAAGCATGGTGAGTATTTTGCAGATCTCATTTATTGCCACAAGTTTTTAGAAAATGAAGAAAGAAAACAAAAACATATTTTTTCTTTTCTTTTTTCTATATTTCAAAACCTTGTGAGAAAAAATGAGATCTGAAAAATACTCACCATGCCTCTTTTTAAATTCCTTGGGGTATCTACTTTCCAAAAAGGGGTAATTTGGGGGAGTTTGGTGCTATCCTGGCATTTCAGGGCTTCCGAAACTGTGATAAGTAGTGAGGAAGTGAAATGAGAAAGTTACGCACCTTCAGGCTGTCAAAGTGGTCATTGAATTTAAAGCTCCTGTATGTGGCTAGGCTCCCAAAAAGTCTCACACATGTGGTATCCCCGTACTCGGTAGAAGTAGCAAAATGTATTTTGGGGTGTAATTCCACATATACCCATGGCTTGTGTGGGAAATATGTCATTTAAATGACAACTTTATGAAAAAAAAAATGTTTTTGTCATTTTTCAAAAACTTGTGGAAAAAAAAATAAATCTTCCACGGACTCAGTATGCCAGATAGCTTAGGGTGTCTACTTTCTAAAAAGGGGTCATTTGGGGGTGTTTGTTCTGTCCTGGTATTTTAGCACCTCAAGAAATGTGATGGGCAGTCAGAAAGTAAAAGCTGTGTAAATTCCATTATCTGTACAATAATTTGCAGATGCTATAACTTTCACACCAAATAATCTATATACACTTTTTCAAAACTTTTTTTTTCAAAACTTTGTTTACAGCGCAAAAAATAAAAAGTGAACAGGTGATCAAATACCACCAAAAGAAATCTCTGTGTGAAAAAAGGATGTAAATTTAATTTATGTACCATATTGCATGACCGTGCAATTGTCAGTTAAACTAGTGCAGTGCTGTATAGCAAAAAATTGAATAAATTGCAGTATCTATACCATAGTTTGTAGACGCTATAACTTTCACACAAAGCAATCAATATACACTTATTGGGATTTTGTTTGCCAAAAACATGTAGCAGAATACATTTTGTCCTAAATGTATTACTAAGTTTGAGTTTACTATATATTTTTTATAGTCAAAAGTAAAAAATATTGTTTTTCTTCAAAATTTTGTCTTTTTTTGTTTATAGTGCAAAAAATAAAAAGCGCACAGGTGATCAAATACCACCAAAAGAAAGCTCTATTTGTACGAAAAAAAAAGGACGTAAATTTTGTTTGGGTACAGCATTGCATGATTGCGCAATTATCAGTTGAAATAGTGCAGCGCCGAGTAGCAAAAAGAGGCCTGGTCATTAAGGAGGTAAATCCTCTGGATGGCAAGTGGTTAATTTGCATCCTTCCTTATGTCTCCCACAGGATAGCTACCATGGCATCTTAAGGTCATTGACTGAAAAAAGGGATATAAAGTTTCTTGTTTTACTTTGTTGTTCATTGGCGGAATAAAATCTTTTTTAAAAGTCATAATTATGTAAATTTCTTTACTTGCCCAATTTTTATAACTATTATTGCTAGGTTTCCTTACACCTTCTATAGCTGCCTCTCAGCAAATAATAGCACAGCTCTACATCTTTGCTAAGTTAACATCTGCTAACCTCTAGCTACAATACTGTAAACAAACTTCCAAAAGCGCTCACATGTCTATATATTTCCTACTGCAAAGATAACAAAACATTTCCTGCCAGGTTTGCATAATGACAACAAACTAACTTCAGTAAAGCAAGAAAGAGACAATGTGTGATTAGGAGCCAAGTTAGAAGTATTCACATTGTGGTACCTTCCCAAACTTTCAATCAAAGCAGGAACAAAAGAGAAAGCATAAGTAAACACACCCAAGCATAAATGTGGAACTATCTTGCTCAGAAAAAAGAAACTTTATATGTACCTCACAATGGGATAAATATACAACATAAACTATAAAAAAAAAATAATATTTATTAATCCATCCAGTTAAAACAGACATTTTGCATAAAAACAATGAATATCATGGTCTAGCACCAGCATACAGTCTTCTAAGTTTGTGATGAACAAACAATAAGCGTATAAGGTCAACGCGTTTCGCTGCATTTCCTTCCTCAGGATCACCATTGCAGGATCATGCAACACTAAGCAATATTAAATCACCTGGCATGAAAAAATTGAAACAACATATATCCTTCCTTGTGGGGGAGAAGAGTATCATATTACCCAAATGGGGGTTTAAGCAAAAGAGCAGGATCAGACTCAAACCAATAGCTGGTAACTGGTTGATGGTCTATGCAGTGTTGGCATCAACCAAAGACCACAGGTCTTTGGTTGATGGTCTATTCAGTGTTGGCAGTTACCAGCTATTGGTTTGAGTTTGATCCTGCTCTTTGCTTAAAGGATAAACTCACCTTTTGGACAAAAATGATACATGCACATTTTTTTTTGCAGGTATAAAAATGTGCATTTATTATTTTTGTCCAAAGGAGCCTGGAAAGCATTGCACCAACAATAAGTAGATCGCTGATGCCATGCAGGTCTCCTGCAGACCTGTCAGAATATATACTTGCTGTACGGGATGTACGAGCAAGCAGATATTCTGACAGGAAGCTTGAATTACATACCACGGTGCTCCACAGCTCCATAGTAGTTCATTAAAAGCTACAAGCCCACAGCCGCTAAGACTGTCAGGACTTGCAGTTCATTCATTCATGGAAGTCCGTGAATGAATGACGCAGCCATGTGTGTGGAGCCCCACACGGCCGCACTGTTTTCAAATCTAACAGTATGGGGAGACTTCTCCTTGCATTATCTGTCAGAGGGTGGGGGGGAAGCGGGTGCGGCTGCAGCTATGGGAACATGTTACATGTTCCACCCTAAAAACGAGTGGAACATGTAACATATTCCCAATGGTGAACTCATATTTTAACCGCTTCCCGACCACCCTATAGCAGAACTACTGCTACAGGGCGGCAGGGCTGTGCAAAATCACTTGTGATTATATGTGATTTTGCATTTCCGGGTAGGGGTGCACACACCACCCTACCTGAATCGTCATTGGTGGCTACAGATGTTGCTCACCGGGTCCTGGCCGGAGATTCCTCACCGGCACCCGGCAATCGCCAAGTATCACTGACAGGGGAGAGACCTATATGTAAACAACACAGGTCTCTTTCCTGCCAGTAAGGACATGCTGCTTTGAACTTCTCTGCACAGCAGCGAAATACACAGCAGTATGTTTTCCTAGTAAAACACATGCACAGCACATCATGTAAAACAGCACACAGCACACAGTTAACCCTTTTATCGCCCCAGATGTTAACCCCTTCCTGTCCAGTCATTAGTACAGTGTCAGTGCTTTTTATTAGCACTGATCACTGCATTAGTGTTTCATTGAGATGTCAGTGGCAGTTAGGCATTACTAGTATAAAGAAAAAAAATCCAGTATATATACTGCCATTTGTAGACGCTATAACTTACATGTAAACCAATTAACTTACACGTATTGGGATTTTTGTTTAGCAAAGACATGTAGCAGAATACATTTTGGCCTAAATTTATGATGAAATTTGATTTTTAAAATTTTTTTACTGGATATGTTTTATAGCAAAAAGTCTAAAATATTGTTTGTTTGTTTTTTCAAAATTGTCCGTCTTTTTTTGTTTATAGTGCAAAAAATTAAAAACGCACAGGCGATCAAATACCACCAAAAGAAAGCTCTATTTATGGAAAAAAAAGGAACTAAATTTCATTTGTGTGCAGCATTGCATGGCAATTGTCAGTTAAGGTAACACAGCGCCGTATCGCAAAAAATGGCCTAGTCAGGAAGGGGGATAAATCCTCTGGGAGGGCAAGTGGTTATTTGAACTGCCCTTGGTTTTCCATGTTTTACTGGGGTAAACTTGCTAGGGTGCAAAGAAAAAAAAGGGGGAGAAGGAGGAAATGGTGTTTTCATGTGCAAAATCACATGACAAAATGTACTTAAACCTATATATAAAATAGTATTTTTGATATACCATATAATTCTGTTGTTGGAGTACATTAAAGGACACAGGATGAATATTCAGGTAGATAGGGTTAGGCTGCTACCTTCAGACAATTGGACATTAGTCAACAAAGCTGTAAGTACAACCTAGTATAACCCTTCCCACTCACATTATGCTCTGGTTTTGTAGCTATGCAAAAGTAGGAGTGGCTTATAAGAAGAGAGGAGGAACCTGTGTCTCCTATACTCCACACAAACGATTTTATGGTAAGTCATGTTTTTGAAAGGATTGTTTGTTGCATAAGAAAAATGGAGCACAAACGTTATACAACATAGACAGAGAAGAAAGTTGGCTAAAAGTCTTGTACCAGATGCCTTTTGTGTCTGATCCATGGGGTCCGTGTGTGGGGTCATTCTGCTGCACGGTTTCTTGTGTTCATTCCTGGCTCAGGCTTTCCAAGTTGTTTTAGACTGGATTGTTTGTTGTATAAGAAAAATGCCCTTTAACATATGCACACCAGGAATTAACACTGATAGGTTTGCAGTACATAAGTGAACTGTAAAATTTATTGGCTACAGCAAGCAGTTTATATACACCTCTAGAGGATTGTGCAGTACTGACTGCATGTGCATCCAGCCTTTATCTACTAAATGTCCATCAAACAGACCAGCTAGAACCAGCTCAGCCTGGTATAAAGTGACAGCTAGCTAACTTACCTCAAAAGGTTACAAAAGTACATTTCTTGTAGAAAAATACAAAATGGAATGTCACTAATATGGTCAAAAATCCTGTCTTCTTAAGGGACACAGGTTGAGTAATTCAGGAACATCCCAAATAAGTCCAACAGAGGGCTGGATGGCAAAGCAAACAAATGCCAACAAGCCCATATGAACAACAGGTTAACAGAAGGGGCTCAATAAAGCTCACAGAGATTCCTGAACAGCCTTATGCCAAATATGGCATCAGGTGAGGCCTGAAAATCCACCCAGTAAAATTTGAAGAACATATGAACATGTAAACAGAAGACTAGGCAACAGCCCTGCAAATTTGAGAAACAGGTGTCTGATGCAGAAAAGCCCAGGAAGCACTAACTGGTCTAATGGAGTGCACTTTGACAAGGTAAGGTTAAACCTTCCCTTTAAATACATAGGCTAAAATGATGATTTGGAATTCATTTGGAGATAGTGGAACAAGAAACAGTTTGTCCCCTAGAGGAAGCCTTTCTAAAATATGCTGTAGCAGAGAGATAACCTTGAACAGCACCTACAATATCTAGAAAGGGGAAGGAAATCTCCTTGGGATGTTGTGGGGCAGGACATAGAGATGGCAGAACATGGTCTTGGTTAAGTTGAAAGGAAGAAAACCACTTTGGAAAGACAAGAAGCCTTTGGCCCCAAGACAATCTTGTCTATGTGTTGCACAAGAATGGTTCTGTGCAGATTAAGGCCACCAACTCAAACTCCCCTCACAGAGGGGATGGCAGTAAGGAAGGCGACCTTGTGAGTGAGAGTAGAAAGGGGAATATCCCTAATAGGTTTAAAGAACAGTTCCTGGGAAAACCAGCACAGCAAGGTTGAGATACCACGGAGCCATGATGAAATGTGCAGGGGGAACAATATGAGTGACACTCTGGATTTCACCAAGGAGTGAGAGGCAAGCAGTCTTTGAAAAAGAATCATTAGGGCCGAGATTTGATTCTTTTTGGCACTCAAGGCCAAATGCTAATCTAAACCAGGCTAGAGAAAAGATTGGATTCATTCCACAGTATTTCCTGGGATAGTAATTCCTTGCCTCATACCATGAGAAATATGCTTTGCGGGTGTGATGGAAGAAGTAACTTTTATTGCTTTCAAGAGCACAGGAAAAGCGGAATTGGATAGGTTCCTATGCATCAGGGGCAGGGGCAAAGGAGCTACTGCTAGGAGTCTGATAAGGTCCATGTGCCACAGCCAGCTCAGAGCAATGAGAATCACCAAAATGTCCTTCATCTCAATCCTCTGGAGCAGCAAGGAATGATTTTCAGAGGAAGAAAGGTGTAGATCCGGTGGAACTGACCTAACAGAGCCCCCAAAGTGTCCACTATGAAGGCTGAAGGATCCCTGGACCTGGAGACAAATTTGCCCAGTTTGTTTTGGAACCTGGCAGCCAGGAAGTCCATGCTCGGTAACCCCCACCTGCATCATAAGTCTTGAAAGAGCCCAGGGTGACAAGATAATTTTTCTGAGTCTAGATATTGAGGACTGAGGAAGTTCAACTGCCAATTCTCCATGCCTAAGATATGCACACTAGACATGGCTACAATGTGAATCTCATCAGCTTCTCTTTGAGATGTGAACATCTGTTCCTCACTGGTGGTTTATGTAAGCCAATACCATGGTAGTGTGCAACAGAATTCAGGGCAGATGAAGTCTCGGTTGAGAGGTCCAGGAATGACGGAAAAACCAAATTGCTTTGAGCTGCAGAATACTTAGAATATAAGACAAGCTTTCTCCAGGGACCAAGTCCTTTGCACTGAGAGAGTGTCCAGAACTCCTCCCCAACCCAGCAGGCTGGCATTCATCATGAAAACCTTCCTCATCTGTGGGAGGAAGGATCTCTTTGACTCCAGGGCTGGAGTTGTGAACCTCCAGACTGGGGCAAGCCTCTTTTTGGGAGTCAGCAGCATGGAATGGTTTAATAATTGAACCTTCTTGTCACAAACAAACCAGACTGTTAAGTTGCAATGGTCTGAAGAGAAACTGGGAAAGTGGAACAGCTTTGAAAGGCTCCATCATTGGGTTGAAGACCATCATGCAAATGCAAAAGATCAAGCTCCTGGACTATAGTGTCTAAACATGGAAGCAGAATGTTTGGAGCTTCTCTGGTGGAAGGTAGACCCTGTATACAACAGTATCCAGGAGAATGTATAAAATAAAAAAATAAGCTCATGCACACCCAAATCACAACACTAATGTATAAAGAGTTAATTTCATAAATAAGCATGCTAAAATCATATGGGTTTCATCAAGACCCAAAAATAACACAATATAAGTAAATAATATGCAGCACTCCAGGCAGCTAACTTTTCAAGCTTCATATATTTATGAAAGAAAGCATCATAAACAGACATAACAGCAAATTGTAGGATATGAACAAGATCTCCCCACAGTTCTTCTACCTAGACAAAGGCAAACTTTCAACTACAAACATCATATAAATTTTCATTAGAAAAGGGAGAAGATCCAGGCTAAAAGTACAGCAATAAATAAAGGTCTGATGTCTAACATATTGGGATTGTGATAAGCGATCATTATTTTTATGTTTAGTTTTAAAGTACCACTGTGGGGAAGGAAGATTTTGGATGAATCCACCTAAATGGATGATCGAATAAAAGTGCTGTTTGTGTATTAGTAATATGTGCGGTGAGTGTTGTATCCTGATGGGATGTGGTTCACTAAGCACAAAGGGTGATTGATCTGCTATTCTGATTAAGGCTAGGTTCACACCTATGCAGTTTGTGTTTGATCTGTTTCTGTGGTGCGTTTTTTGCACATGTGTTTTTGCTGCATTTTGCATTTTTTTTTCTTGTTGCTAGGCAGATTTAAAACGCAGCAAAAATGCAGCACAAATGCAGAAAAACACAGCAAAAATGCACTACATGCTTTTCTGCAGTGTTTCCATTGAAGTCTATAGAACCAAAAACGCAACTTTTTGCATTTAAAAAAGTCCCTGACCCTTTACAAAAAAACGCACTGGGTGAAAATGCAGAGATGTGAACCTGTCCCATAGGAAATCAAGTTAAATGGACTGTAGTGCATTGCTGCAAAACACTGCGGAAAACGCTTGGTGTGGACCTACGGTACAGGTGGAGGAGTGAAGCTGTGACCTATTTGACCCAGAGGAAAACCTCTCACTGACTGTGTGGGATTTGTTGCACTTTTCATCACCAATTGGTGGAAGGCCACAAACTTTTAAAAGTGTGGAGCGCTGTTGTGATTAATGTTATATTGATTGCTACAGTATTCATGACAATTGTTGTTTTTAAACATAAAGTAGCTAGCTCTCAAGCTTAGTTGTATTCACCATTCTTACATGGGTAATGTGCATTGGTTGCATGCTTTTTAGCACATTTTTGTTTTATAGTTGTTTTTTGATAACCCTAGCAGCTATGGAGGTGGTGAATTTTTTAAATGCTCAACAAATTTATTTAGATACACTGTTTTCCTCTGAACAAGAGCTCAGCCTCAAGAGGATTATAGTGGTATCTCTACAGCCATGGATAATGCTTTGGAAAAGCAGGTGAAAGCCTGGTGGGATATAATGCACCCTGGAGCATTACCTAAAAGAAAAGAGCATTTTTTGCAGCTTAAGATGGAAGGTAGCCCTACAAGATGGTCTCAGGGATGAGGAAACAGAATCAGAATGGTACGGTTTTTTTAATAAAGTAGGATTAAA